AAGGATTGTGGAAAATGTAGTTTTAAACATACCTGCATGCAGTACAGTATTACACTAGGCTGACACAAGATAGTTCACTGTCTTTGTATGCTACGTGACTTATTTGTGGATTTACAAAATCATACAGCTGATGTAAAGATTAAAAAAAGAAAGAAAACTATCCTCAGGTTTACTTCATAAGTAAGAGAACTTTGGCAAATTTATAGCTGACAAAAAAGAAAGAAAAGAAATATTTGCCAAGTTAATCTGTACTGATTTTCAACTACCATTGAAAATGAACAATTACATTTACCCTGATCCAATTTAAACCACAACAAGACATTTTATTGAAACAAGCCAGGACAACAAAAACAAGAGCTTTGAAATGACTGAGCAGTGGTCCTTTAACTCTTTAAGTGCGACTTCACAAAACACATAGGGGAATGTATGTAAGTGGGGAAGCCGACAACATTTTCCCTGCTTTCTACCCACAGGTTGGACTCTTAACGTCAGCTGTGATGAAATGTGTGCGTTCTTGCAGTCTTCAGGTCATCACGTGATGGACTCCATCCTTTTGCTTGAGTGACAGATGAGTTGTAGCCCATCACTAAGAACACCAGCAGCCTGGTTTTCAAAGCAGGGCCAAATTGAGGCCATCCCGAGCTTAGACATTACTTTAGACAAATTATTTATGAGCGGTGTATGTAGACTTTACTTTGAATAATTAAGTCATGCCTGCTTCAACCTTTGGAGCTCTCATTTGGTCCTGCTGTGGAAAAGTGGCAATATTTAATAGTCCATCATCTCCTCTCCTCTTAATTTCTTCTCTTGGGACTCTGTCCAAGCTTTGTTGATTGTTCTCTTCATCTCGTCGTCTCCCTCTGCATAAATCTTTTTCAACACATTCATCAGGCCCTCGCCGGGGTCAGCATTATCGTCAAGGCTGGGTTTTCTGTAGAAAGGCGGCAGGAAAATACTTTAATGGTGCAAATAATTCTTTGGATTGCTCTCATGTAGTATGTGTGCACCCAATCACTGCACTGCAATCACAGTGGCTTGAGACACAGCACTGTTGCTGCACTTTATTTCACAAACTAAAATCAATAAGCACATTTCTAACTCACTCTTTCTCTTTAGACTGCTTTTCCACCGCCGTTAGACAGTCCCACTTCTTTGTTGACTGCTTCTTGCACATGACCAAGACCATGTCTGTTTTTATCTGTTGCAAAGAGCAAAAGACAGTTTCAGAGTGTGGACAACAGACTGGCAGCTCAAATCAAAGACGAAAAGTGACAGGAACACTGACACTGCATTTAACAAGGTTTAAGTATAATCACAATAGCCACCTTAATAAGTTAATGCAGTATATTTAAACTCATTGCTACAAGCTTAAAAATAGGGTGTCTGCTGCCCCCTAGTGGCCACACATAATTTTGTTTTAACTTTAAATGTTTTACTTTATTTGGTTTTTCATTGATGCTTACTTTTCTCTGACAAACAGGTCAATCACTAAGAATCACTACTCCAGTTTTTCACTGCAAAATGACTAATATTTCCTGAAATCTTAAAATAAATACAAATAAATGCATCTATTTAAAATGATGCACAAGGTACCTTTTCACCTGCTTTCTTAGCTATATTGATGCGTACATGATTTTATTGTTTTTTCCATTACTCTTCATCAAGCAGCAAGCTTACATTACAACCATCTAACATTTTTCTCTGGTTTAAAAGGGATTTAGTGTGATGGCTGCAGGAGGTAACATGGCTTAGAACTGTTGATATGATGCAGAATATGCAAAGGCAATCTTAAAAAATAAAAACTTTGATTTGTCCTGCCACAGAGCTTTTGAGTAGCACGGAGTGGCTGCCTGTCAAGCATTACCCTCTTGACAGACAGCAGAGGAAACCTGCATTATGCACAGCTTCATGCAAACTGATGTTTTAGCTGTGAGAGTAGGAGAGAGAAGAAGTATATACTGCAAGTATTTGGTCGATTACTGGCCTGCAATATCAGAGACCTACACAGTTTTGTGAAATATGGGGATAGTCTGCTGAGAGAGATTGCAACACTGCTTCCTAAAGCACACCCACTCATCTAAGATGACAAAGACTTTTGACCCAAAGCCAGCAACCGATTTCTGAAATACAAACATCTCATGGCCGCTGGGCTGAGGAGAAGAAGCCGAGTAAGCAGAAGATGATTTGTTTACCTTTTTGTAGCTGTCCTGTTCATTGATTGGATACAACAAGTTCAGAACTGTCATTTCGTGGTTTTTGCCATCTAGATCCTTCACCAGCACAGAAAATGACCTGCAACACAGACAAGGGGCAAATTCACGTGCACTGATAAGGGAACAGGAATGTATAAACAAACTGAACACTATGCTGATTATCAACTCACCGTTCTGTAAATTTGACCTCCACATTTTCTGCTGATATTTTGTGCACATCTTTCAATGCCAGATAAATTTTGACAAACTTATCTGACTGGTCCCATGCTGCAGAAAAGATGATACACATGTGAACAATTTTGAAATACTGTTTTTTCCCCTCCCCAGCTCTTGAACGCATCTTAACCGCTTGGTTTTCTCAGTAATGTTTGATAGTGCTACTCGATAACTGCCCCATACCATAGCTGGTAATCTTGACAGTGTATGCTGCCTTAGTGGCTGCAGATGGGTCTGCCTCCTTCCTAGCCTGTTGTTCTTTTTGTTGTCGTTTAGCTGCGAGCTCCTTCTCCACCTTTTTCTGCTCCTGTTTAAGTAGATCCTGAACTCTTTTCCTCTCTGCCTTCTCCAAGAGGGACCCCAGCTCCTGCAAGTCTGCCTCCAACTGTTTAATCTGTATAAGGGGAACAATACAATCACTGAGACATGCACATCCACTAATAGAGCAGTGCTGTCGGTTTGAATCCATCTACCAAACATTTGTTTAATTAAAAAAACAAAAACAAAACTATATAAGTAAATAAATGTGCAAAAACTAACATTTCATTTCTAAATAAAAATTTCTATTGCAACTTAATAAATAGTAAGAACAAAGTGCCTTCTACAATAATTATATAGTCACTAACCCATTTCCCACAATCAACTCTCGAAGTCATATTACTTTATTTAAATGTAGTCTAACCTAACTCACAACACACGTTGGAACTATGCATTTGTCTGCGATTTATCTGGCATCCAAACAGCTTAGAAGCCTATACATATTACAGTTATTCATGTCTTGAGAGATCCTTTACAGATGTATTGTAATATGTATGTATGTATGTATGTATGTATGTATGTATGTATAATTCAAATGTAAAAGTGCTTAATGACACTGTACATGAGTGGGTCTAGTAACATCTCCAGACAGCTAACAGAGACACCGAGTAACTACCGTACTGATTTGTTTAGCAGCGCAGTAGTTGTTTTACACTGAATGATGTTGCTAGAATGTTCTGGTAGTCCACTAAAAGCTAACAGCTAAGTTGGGCCGCGAGCTACTGGCACACACCGCCACGCACGACTACCGACTGTAATCGTATTTGTCGTATTTGCCAGACAGGCGTTTTGTTTTAGTTTACAACTGTAACGTTACCCTGGAGAAAATAATAATAAAAAAACGTATCAGGCATCACGCAGCTGCTCGCAACGGGTTGATAGGACTGACGTTAGCAAGCATTGCACTGATTTCACTGTATCTATGTAAATCCAGCTACCGCAGCTAAACCTTAAAAGATGCAGTTTTGCTGAACACTAAACTGAATGAAACGATTCTGCTCACCTGTTCGGTTAAATCCATTCAGGCTTATCAGTATCAGCTACACTATGAAATGCCGTTGCGGTTCTTCTTCACTGCTCTCAGACTACTTTCCAGCGGCGCTTCTTTCCAAAGCTCTTCCGTCTTCTTCATTTGGCAATTTGCAAGGCCGATTACAGGTGTGCTACCGCCACCTACTGTACTGAAGTTTAATCATTGCTAAACAGCAAAGTGTCCTTGTATGTAGAGCATGACATGAATTAAATGAACCGTTTTAAGGTAATTTCAACTTTTTTACTGAACCTTTTAATGTAAAATCAAATGAATGTTACAGTTTGCTGGCTTTCAACAAACTTGCACCACTTTAAGAGACACATTCTATTTAATTGCATTATATATACACGCACATTGGCCACTCGATCCTTTAACTGCTCATTAATGCAAATAACTAATCATGGCAACAACTCAGTGCATTTAGACAAGCAGATGTGGTGAAGATCAAACTGAGCACAAAAACAGGGAAGAAAGTTGATTTAAGTGACTTTTGTCTGAGTCTACTGGGACTGCTCTGAGCTGATAGGAAGGCAACATTAACTCAAATAGTCACTCATTACAATCATGGTAGAAAAAGCAGAAGCAGCATCTCTGAATGGATAACAGAGGAAAATTTGTGTTTTGAATGATATAACCTCTATTAAAAACATGAACATAAGTGCACTCACACACACACACACACACACACAGGTGTACAAGCAGGTACTCACAGACACACACCATCTTGGTACTGTATGCTGCTTAGCAACATTCACTATTTATTATTTACTGTTACTGATGCTTATGTTGGTTGTTGCTGTGGTTTCCCTACTGTGTTGTCTTCTTTTTCTCTCAGCAGGTGATCACGCAGATTTTCATCATCTTTTCTCTCTCTATCCCTCTTCTCTATTTATCTTTCCCTCTCCTTCTGTTAATTCTCTTCCCAACATCTCTTTCTTTCTCTTTCCCATCCCCTGGTCCTGTCTGTTCTGATTGTAATAACTCAAAATGAAAAATTAATTAATAACAACAACAAGAACAATAATAATAATAATTATGAAGGTTGAATAAAATATGACAATCAAGTGGACCAGCAAAAGCCGTAATGGTCTACTTGGGAAAATAAATCTGGTGGGCATTTTTCTTGGCCTTCAGAAAATAATTCTGCTACAGTGCCGGAGAGGACACAAAAAAATTAAATAAAATAAATCTCAGAAAACCAGTTTCTTTTCATACTCCACTGATTTTTTTCCAAAACACACAACATATCAAAACAACAGCAGCAGAAAGACATCGAGTGCCACTCGTCACCTAAGAACAGGAAACTGAGGCCACAATTCACACAGGCTCACCAAAATTGGAAGAAGATTGGAAGGAAGATTGTTGCCTGGTCTGATTAATCTCATTTCTGTTGGAACATTTTATGGTAAGACCAGAATGTGGTGCTAACCAAATGAAAGCAAGGATCCATCCTGCTTTGAAGCAAACGTTCCACACGTTTGGTATTTGTTACATCTTAGATACTTTTCAACTACATAAAAGACCAGTTATATATTACATACAGAATAAATGAAAAGAAAGTAAGTGAAAGGAAAATGTGGGCTTTCTTGCCTATGAATTACATCTCATTTTAGGGCAGCCATTACCTTAAAAAATAACTTACTTCTTTTCCTGTGACAGTAGAAGATGCTAAACTTTTATAAAACTTTTATATTACACATAACATTTTATAATAAACCAAGACACTCACAAAACTGTAATGTACAACAATATTCATTTATTTATCAGTACTCATATCAACTTTCTCATTTTTTATATTAAGAAGGCTAATAAGGAAGCAACAGCACCTTACTGACCAAGGAAAACATAATTTACACAAGTAATCAAATGTAGCTGTCTACTGATAACCACTGAAAAATCTTGTTTTTCAAAATGTCCAGTGAGACCTCATCACCACCTTGCTCTCAGAATCCCAGACATCTGATTGTGGTCAGCTAGATGACGAAAGACAATACGGCTAAGACGCCACCTCCGCTTCACTCCTCGTGGTCGGGAAGTCATCACACACCTGTTACGTATCCTCACAGGGCAGCTGTCTCTGGGTAGTGCTGAAATCTCTTTGTCTGCTATCTCCTGCAAAAAAAAAGAATAAATAAGTAAACAGACATTAGTACTTCACTCTGTACTAATGTCTTTTCAAGGATTCATTCTGTAACAGTTCAATCATTACCATTGCTGAGTTATTTATTAATACACATATGACTTAGACGTCCTTCTTCAGTGTATACCTGAAGCTCTTTGGGTAGGATGGTGTTCTTCCTCAGTGCGTTAATTCGTAACCTCTCATCAGCATAGTCAAAGGCCATCTGCCTCCTCTTGACATCCCTCAGCATCCTCCAGTCAACATAGTAACTTCTCACCTGCTCCACCGCCCCCCAGCAGCTCCTCAATGCCTGCAAACAGTGCTCCTTCAGTTAGTGAACAAGTATTTAGTCTGCCTCTGTACTCAATTACACACACTGTAGCTCTAACTGTCTGAACCACCTTTAGGCCCTAACAATTTTCAGACAAGCCAGAGCAGTCTAAATCAAAAGCTGATTATTTCAGCTCATCTGCACTGCCGTGTGCCATTTGGACAAGCTTTCACTTGAAAATACAGCATCTGACCTGATGTTAGCAGTTTCAGTTCTATGACAGAAATCAAGTTTGCCCGAATTAGAGCATCAGGAGCCCAAGACAACAGACACACAGATGTGAGCCAAAAAATAAACGAAACCTCCTTCGTACGCTTCCGAAATAACAGAGGGGGAGAGACCCTGGTGATTCGGACATAAAACTATTACATGCAACTTCTGATGATCCATTGAAAACTTGCCTTCCTATGACGCTTGCATATTCCACACAGATCGTGTTAACAAAAGGCTCACTTTGCAGGTTCAAGTAAAACTAAACAGGGAATAATTTTATCCATATAACGAGCGCTCAGCTGTAAAAGAAATCGGTTGCTCTTGAGGGATAACGGGCCACAATTAATGCTAACAAAGTCATCATTTTATTCAGCTTAAATATCTTGCTTTCAAGATCATTAGAAGCCATAGCGTAAAAAGAAGTTAATCACTCAACCTTTCTTGCTAGAAAAAGCACGGGAACTGAGCATATACTACCTGTCCTCTTATAATTTTCATGTATTATAAGAGGACATGTATCATGTCCTGTTAAACCCTTCAAAGAACCATACTGAGCCAGGTTTGATACATAGCAGGCTTAGTAGCCGCGAAGCTAACGTCAGAACGCTAGTTACATCAATAAAACAGCCAATGTTACATTTATCGACCGAAAGTCAGAGATAATAGATTGAGTCTGAATGAAAACACAACCTCAGCTAATACATGCAAGATTACCGTAAATGCTTTACCTGTTTTGGGACGCAGACGGTGGAATAAAGGGCATTTAACCCCAAACATGTTAGTCTGTTAACCGCCATATTGGATTTGACTTGCGCGAAACCACCGGAGGTTGAAAGAAAAAACATTCAACTTTACCGCCACCTATCGACCTGGAGTGTGACCAGATAAAATGAGACGTACAGTGCCTAAAAAATTTCAAATTTATGAGCGAAAACGCGACACATTTACAAGTAAAGCATGACAAATTTATGAGAAAAAACTCGTAAGAGGGAAAAATAGGAAAATTGTGTCTTTTTTTCAATCAAAGACAGACTTCGCCTCACTTTTCTATCTTAAACTGCAAGGAAGTTTACATATACTACAAGCTGATTTCTGTTTAAATCGCTATGTGAGTGTTCAGCGATTGTGAGCATTGAAACATGTATTTTGTTTTTCATGATTTATCTTTGTAGACAGCTTCTACAGACACCTCCCAACCAGTCCCGTTGATAATGGGATTTCAACATTTCTTATGAGTTATTGATCCCAAACATTCTCTTCAACCTAACCATGAACACTTAAGTGATACTGCTCCCTTTCTTTAAAAAAAGAAATGAAAAGAAAAATTGTTTGCAAGCTTTTCTCGCATTATTCTTCCTTTTTTTTGGTCTCAAAAATATATTTTTTCTCACTTTTACTCTGTCCACAGTGTAAATCACAGTATAATGAACAAATATTATTCAAATAACTGATGCTCAAGGCAGTTTATTTTGTAAGGTTGAGACCTTACAGCAGGGGTGTCCAACTCCAGTCCTCGAGAGCTACGGCCCTGCAGCTTTTAAACACATCCTTCTTCCTGAATCAAATAAATAGCTTATTATCAGGCCTGAAAACTTGATGGCATGCTGAAGAGGTAATCCAACCATTTGATCCAGCTGTGTTGGAGTAGGGATGCATCTAAAAGCTGCAGGACAGTAGCTCTCGAGGACTGGAGTTGGACATCCCTGCCCTACAGTAACAGAGAGAAAACCCCAACAATTAAGTAACACCCTATGAGTAAGGGCTTGGTGGCAGTAGGGAGGGGAAAAAAACCCTTTTAACTGGAAGAAACCGTGGCACAACCAGGCTCAGGAAGGGGCAGCCATCTGCTGTGACCGGCTGGGGGAGGAAGATAGGACAAATGACACTCTGGAGAAGTGAGCCAGAGATGAATGATAGCCATTAATTAAATGCAGATTTCTGTATAAACACATATAGAGTGAAAAGAGGTGAGTGAAGAAGAAACACTAAGTGCTAATTATGGTGAAGTTAATATTAGATTTTTGCAGCAGCATTACATTTGTTATTACATTTACTTCATCAGTGCTGAACCTGCTGTGATTAGTTTTGCTTTGAGTCTCAAGTAACTGATAATCCCCTTTGAGAACATGCAGTAACAATCTGAATTTACTTGAATTTTTAGTCACTTGTAGTGCCATTTGACCACCAGTAGGTGGCAATGTAGTCCTTTCATGATAAGGTCATACTCTCTCTCTCACCACCCACCATGACCAGGGCCCCTGTTCCAGCTGAATCTAAACCTTGTGTCTTAAATCTTCTGAAGCACAGAGTCATCTCTGCTTCCCCAGCACTTCTAACAATGAAACCCTTGTGTTTTAAGGAAGCACATATATTAAACAGTGTGCTCTTCTTCTTTCAACATATGTCTCAGCAGGGTGCTGTCTTTAATAGATAAAAAAAAGCATATAAGCAGAGTGGGTTACTTTCTTAAACAGTCCCCATTACTCTGCAGCCTGGAGGAGATGCGTTTTTGGATAAATATTAACACATGACAAACTCCAGGCAGTGCTTCCTCTATAAAAAGCATTGTTATGAACCAGGCTGGAAAATTGGTACAGGGATCTGAGCACTGACTTAAATAATAAATGACTCAAAAAGTAAGCACATTACTGCTTACAGATAATGGTATTTGTAAACCTGTCACAGCACCAAGCGTATTAATGTACCAAGAAATTACCTTAACTTTTTTTGTAATGGATGTCAAAATATTCGGCTGTCTTTCATTTTCTGGGTTAGCGGGAACAACTCTTTATGAATCACTGTAATTGCAAAATTATATGGTTTGTCAACCAGGAGAAATGTTTTTGAAATTTGCGAAAACACAGCTTTTTCATTTGACAGCACCAGTTTATCATACTTAAACTGCTTTTTGGCTCCGAGTTAGTTTTGGCCCGTAGTTCAAAACTTCCCGACACGGCTGTTCCAAGATCATCATGACGAAGGCAGAATTTTTCTGTCAGTGATTTCTTTTACTTTCCTGAGCAGAGTTGAAAAGGTGACCCGTTGCAATTAGGAATAAATGATTGTGATGGAGAGAGGAAGTTAAAATATTCCTTAATCAGTCCTTAAACAATTTGACAAGATAAGAGTAAGCTACTCTTTTAATGATAAAGGGTCATCATTCAAATATAGCACAGGTAATATAAAGTAGTTATCGTTTAGAGAGCTTATGGGGGGCAATGCTGGTCAGTCTCATTCAAAGCAATCGACCTAACATATGAAAACAACGAGAACAGGTGGTGTTACAGATTAACGCATGCAAATCGAACTTTAATTTAAGCTGGCAACATCCTTTGTCATCATTATTTCTCTAGCAGCGAATCTATTCTAAATGACTTGGGACGAACAGCTCTGCAGCTGCACTGACAGAGTAAAGAGTGGGAGGTACTGTGTTCCTGTATAACAGCAGTGTGATAGGGGTCACCGGTGACAAATGTCCAACATGCCAGCAGATAATTTAAATTAGATCAATGATAAAGTGTTTCTTGCCCGCTGGCTTTAGGGAAGTGATGCAATTTCAAGGTGTCTTGCGCTGGTGTCACCCTGGTGCACCAGTGCGCTTTACAGAAGATCTGCAGATCTAAGGTCAGATCACAGCTAAGACTGGGGTAATTTGGACACAAAATCAGGCGATATGAAACTGAGATGTAACTGAGAGAAGTTGCAATTGCTCACCGAGGTGGCCTAATGAGTAAAAATAATGGTGCAGCGGTGAACTCAGTCAACACCCATGACGTGATGTAACCAAGCAGCAGCTCGGATCACGGGTTACACCAGAGGGTTACACAAAAGGCTAAACCACCATCAAAGGGTCTCTATGTACTCAAGATGATGTGGGTGTTGGACTTGGTTCTGAACTACTCCAAGCAAAACAACATCTTTAAAGTAGCGACGTACTTGCAACAGCTATAATTAATTGCATGCTTTAGCACTACATCTAAAGTCTTTATAAAGTCCTTAAGTTCCAGGGAGACACATTCAAGCCATAGGAAAAGTCTACTAATACATACCAGACAGCCACGAGCAACCAGCTAACCTTCCTGGTATTCATCAAAGATACCTTCTCCTCTAGTGGTTTATGCATTCTTTCATCTAACCCTAAACAAGATGATTAAAACAAACAAGGATCTCTTGGCTGATCAAACATGAGGCTCATTCACTACGTACCACATGCAGATGAAAATGTGACAGGAGTAGTACGTCTGTATATTTTCTGTGTGCGTGTGTTTTTTTACGGTATGTTTGATTCAGACATAACACGGTTTTCAGGGGATGGTGGAAGTGGCATGTTTGCTGCCAGCATCTCTAAGCTTTCCTACCCAAATATCTGATGTAAAATAGATGCAGAGAAAAACACTCACACGCTGGATCCACATCAGATTCCTGGGTAGAAACGACTGTGTCCGCACGTCTGATCAGAATGATATTTCCAAAGCTTGTAGGCAATAAACAAAGTGTCATTTTTCTTCTTACTGGATTGGTTTTCCCACATTTGACCTGTGTCAACATGTCTTGTGAACATTATTCATACACAGCCCGTATAAATAAACTGCACTGCAGCCCAGTGGCTCGTATTCCTTTGGCAGCTCAAATATTAGACACTAGTCTGAATGCAGTCATATCCAGCAATTCCTTATCATAGCTATTCCTATATCATATATTATTTTTATGTGACCGTGATATGAAATCAAAGATGAATTGCGTCTCTCATCTGCTTAAAGATGTGGCCAATTGGAAACATAGTCAGTCAGTCATACTTTTATTCATAATTTAGCTCATTTCAGGTATGTCATGTAAACTGAAAACTGAAATTAATAAACAAATAACTATATTTTATTCTTGGAAAAAAAAATATACACTTAACAGACTGCTTTAGTTCTATTTTATCTATAAAGCTCCACATCACAACAACAGTCGTCTCAAGGCTCCAGCCTGATAGGAAGGCAGCAGTAAGGTAGCAGTTAAATAACCAAGGTATGTAAAAGAACATCTGTGAAGGCACAATAGGTCAAAGCATGAAGCAGATGGGCTACAGCAGCAGAAAACTACACAGGGTACCAATCCTATCATCTAAGAAAGGAAATTTGTCCACAGTTTTCAGCTGGTTTGATGAATCTTGATTTCTGCTTCCACATTTGATGTTGTGTAAACAATATCAAAGTATGGATCCGTCCTGGTTTGTATCAACAGTGTATTGGTCGCTTTATGGAGTGGGGGATATTTTGTGGAACATTTTGGGTACCTCAGAATCAACTAAGCAGCACCACAGCCTACCTGAGTGTGGTCTCTGACCATTTATCACCAAAGTGTCCCGTGGCTGCTTCCAGCAGGATAACATGCAAATTCACAAAGCTCAGACTTGTTTCGAAACATGACAGTGAGTTCAATCAAATGATCTACACAGTCACCAGTAGATCCAGTAGAACAGTTCTCTGGGTCAGAGGTGGTTGCCAGACTGTTTCAGTCAGCAGTACCTTTAATAAATACTTATCATAGCCAAATTATACAGAAGAGCATCTCTGAATGCATTATAGATGGAACCTTAAAGCAGATGGGCTACAGCCGCAGAAGACTGCAGCAGAAGAGCATGAGACTCAGCTGGTTATCATATAACTTAATGCCACGGCTGAGTATTATTGCTGACTATAGCCATGCATTCATGACAACAGTGTAGTCGTCTTATATTTTCAGCAGGATAATGCGGCCTTTCACAAACTTTAATAGCATGCTGGTATCTTTAAATGGCCTTCACATTCATCAGATCTCAATGCAAAAGAATATTTTTGGGATGTGCTAGAACAGGATATTCACAT